CTAGGGGCTGTGACAAACTGTTTCGTCGGAGTTTCACCGACTCGCTCGTCAGGAGGCTGAACCCATAGGGGAGAGAGAGAGAGAGAGAGAGGGAAATATCGATATGTATATGTAGTATAATATATACACATGCAGGGTAGGGTAACACATAGCATCGGGATCCCGATTTCGATTTCGATTGCGATTGCGATTGCGCATTGTGTGGTTAGGATTTGGATTTGCTAAGCATGATCCGAATCGGACGGACTATGATCCTTGTCTATGTTGCGCTCAGGTAACGAATTTTCTTTCTTTCTTTCTTTCTTTCTTTCTTCCTTCCTTTTCTCACTTCTTTCTTTCTTTTTTTCTTTCTTTTCTTACTTCTTTCTTAAATGGGGGTAAGCCCCCGCACCACCACCACCAGCACCACCTTATTGAATATCCATTGACTTCTCTCCACTGTCAGGATTCGAACTCATGACCTCCAGCTTCATTAACGGTTACAACTTACATGTATGTCTCTTTCACCCACATACAGATTTTCGGTACTGAGAGGATGAGATAGATGAGTACTAGCAAGAAAAATGAGATAGATGAGAGAAGAGTACAGCCTTAAAAAAAAAAAAGGGCCTCGCTGCACTACTCTCGAACTGTGCAAACGAGAGTGAATCTTCCGCTAGAATATGGAAAGATACTCAGCCATGATTTTTGTCTGTTGTGCATGTCGAGAGTAGTGCAGCGAGGCCCCCTAATACTAATACTAATAATATAGTCCAAGACCACATACTCGTACTCATAACAATAATACTAATACTACTAATACTAATAATAATAATAATAATAATAATAATATAGCAATAAGAATACATGTCGTGAAAGGCTATCTCACCAAGCCTTCCCCACGGGCGCATATCTTCTCCCCCTGCCTCTGATTCCTGCCCTCCACGCTCCGATAGCTCATTCCCCTCTATCCCCCTATGGGTAGGAGGAGTGGAGACAAGCTCCTGCGTGTCGCTTTCTTCGATCGCCACGTGTCCTTGTTGGCCTCTCAACAACATTCCGGTCCCACCGCTGCCTGCAGGCGATGCCGCCATAGCCTCCCTCCGTGAGGGGAGAGAGAGGGAGAGAGAGAGAGAGTCGTCCGGCGATGGTCGTGGCAGAGAGTGGGAGAGAGAGTCATCCAGCGCAGGCCCTCTGCGAGAGAGAGGGCGCGCGAACCCTCCGGAAGTCGAAGTCATCCTCACCGCCCCCCCCTCCCCCTTACTCTGCGGAAAACAGATATAACCGATCTCGGGCTGATCTTGTGGGCAATCAAGCAACGCCACGTGTGCGTTGATGATAGTGGATTTTTGCTCACCTCCCTCTCACATACCAGGAAGTTATGTCTCCATACCTCAATCTCACACAGACTAACAACATCAGTTTTCCCGCTCGCGCGCTCGCGCTTGCGCTTGCGCTCGCGCTCGCAAGCGTCAGGAAGTTGCGCTTTCTCACTCACACACAACTCCCGCCTCGTCCCCGAGCCCTCACCTCCCTCTGTTCCCTCAACGCCACCCCTCCTCGACACTCCGCCCCCTCTTCCTCTCTCCAGTCTGTCCGTGGAACGAGGCCAGCGCAGTCCTTTCTCGACGTATCTGACTCTTTTCATGGCCAGATTCGCTCGACGAAACACTCGCCACTGCGCTGGTCGATTGCTGGCTTCCCAAGTGGCATACGGCGCACCTTCCCGACCTGACGCTGCGGGGAAAAAAAAAAAAAAAAAAAAAGTAGCCCCCACAGAGTATTCGCATTCTGTTGTTCGCTGTAGGGGATTCGATTCGAGCTCGTGGCCTTGTTCATATCGCGGCACGGTCCTACGTAGCCCGCATTCTTCCCAAAAAAGACAGTAACAGACTAGAAAAAGTTAAGATACCCCCCTCCCTCGTCGCGCAGTCTCACCTCGCGTCGCACGCACTGGCCGCCCGCAAGATCGTCCAGTTGCCCAGGGGCAAGGTCCCACTCGCACGGATTAGGAGATTTCGGCCGTTGATCTTTGCTATCTACGGTCAGTAGCTCTTAATTCGTGCAAGTGGGACCTAGCCCCAGGTACGGGCTCATCATGGCAAGACGCTGGGCGCCTCGTTCCAGTTGGATTTGGACATTGGACAGAAATTGTCTACCGCGTGGCGCGGGGAAGGCAGCCCTAAGGTAGCCAAATCAATGAGACTAAGAGCTTGCACAAGAGAGAGAGAGAGAGAGAGAGAGAGAGAGAGAGAGAGAGAGTTTTGTTCCATTTATTGTTATGAGTGTGAGAGAGAGCCAGAGAGTGAGAGAGAGAAAGAAAGAGAAACAGAAAGAGAGGGAAGGGGGGGGCCTACCAGAGAGAGAAAGAGAGAGAGAGAGAGAAAGAAAGAGAGAGAGAGAGGGAGGCGGGGGGCCTACCACAGAGAGAGAGAGAGAGAGAGAGAGAGAGAGAGAGAGAGGCTGAATGGCAAAATTGAAATATGGGTCAAATTGCGGCCGCGATCTATTTCGCACTTGGAATGATTTTTTTAAATTTATTTAGCGTTTTTCCTGGAAAGATCACAACAAAATCTACGAGTACTCCAATTTTCAGGTTTTTCACGCGTTCTTCTGAGAGTGAAAACTCACTGAATTTGGAGTACTTTTTAAGTTGGCCCACACATGGCTGAGTGGCAAAAATGGAAAATGTGCCCAATCGGCGCGACAATTATTTCTCGGTCTAAATGATTCTTTTAAAATGTTCTAATATTTTTCCTAGAAAGAACACGACCTCACATATGGATTCTCAAAATGTTCCTCCGAGCACAGAAAATTGCCAAAGGTGCCTCTTGCAAAACGTCTGTTTCGTTGCGCTTGACCTCCCTGTTTTGAGAAGGCGGGCCTCAACGCCTGGGCCTGAGGGCCCTTACCCCACCCCCACTTCTTTTTGGGGTCCACTTCCACCCGAGGATCGGTCCTTGCTTTTTCCAAGAGTCCCGATCATTCCAGAGCTGCCTGTAGGTAGTCCCCAATTTTGCCAAGGACCGGTCCCCCCCAAACTTTTGCCCCCAAAAAAAACGCTTTGCGTCCTAGTCGCCCGCCGCCGAAAATGCGACACCTTGACGCAGACACCGAAGCCCACTATACCGCAGCCTTAGGGCTGCGAACAATGCTAGGGAAGGTGAGACGACCTCGGTGTAAGGAGGGGGTTCTGCGCCAACGACTGCTCTGCAATCAGTGGTTTACGCCGACCCATGCAGCAAGCCTCGCTCATAGCGGCAGACGCGAGATGGGGAGTGTGGCTGGAGAAGGGAGGGTGGCAATTTTAAACACATCTGGCACGAAGAGCAGTTCCATCACGCAGAGCTCATAGGGGTGCTCCTACGACGAGGTCCTACTTGCACGAATCAAGAGATACTGACCGTAGATAGCAAAAATCAAAGACCGAAATCTCCTAATTTGCACAAGTGGGACCTTGCCCCTCGAGGGAGATCCCACTACCGTCTTCACCCAAATAGAACACCCGATCATTATCGCCGCACCTGGACCGAAAGGTGTGCCAAATGTAGCTATAATGATCGGGCATTCTATTCGGGTGAAGACGGTAGCCATGTATGTGGATTAGTGTGACGGGTGTAGAACGGGTGGGGGACAGGTGGTCGCAGTGTGAAATAGGGAAAATAAACTAAAAAAAAAACATTTCATGACCAAACAAAAGAAGAATGTCTAGTTGATGTAGCTTAATGGTTAGACCACCCGTTGGAAATGCGCATTGTGGTATGAGGTTGTGGGTTCAAATCTGTAGCCTTGCGCATGGACACCGGCAGGGCGTTAGAATGACGCACGGCTGGACATATACTATCCTCTGACCACTACATGGTTATGATTACAGATCCTGTCTGTATTGGTCAGGGGGTCAAGTCACGGGTGTTGTATGCTGGTTCTAGGTTCCGCAGGGCTTGCTTGGGGTGTTGGTCTTGGTTGTTCGATTCTCCTCCCCGGTCTGATATACCACACACACATGCTATTTCCGACTCATACGGTTGAGTCTTCCAGTTACATCTCACAGGTTACGGGTTCGAGCTTGGTCACAGACTTTGGGGGGGTCTGTCCAGTCTGGCCCATTATACATGGTATTCTCAACACACATATAGTGCTGACATAACTGGCTTCTGGATATATACACATACATCATAAATAGCCTACATGCATGGCTTCCTGAGCACATACATATGGCCTAAGGGCTCACATGCATCTACAGTTGACCGGGGGAGGGGTAGAATAGAGTTAGGCTCTAAGGTATACAGTACGGTAGTTACCCCAGCAGGTCTGAGTTCCACCTAGCCAAGATAGGGGCAAGCTAGAGGAAGGACGGTAGGACTATCAGTCTAAGTTCCGCCTGGCCTTGGGTAAGTTAGGGGAAGGACGGTAGGCTGTCTGGCTGGGGTGTTGACTGCTAGTTAGTTGTCCCCGAAAATAAAACCCAGGGGTCTATGATCTCTACAATAAGGATACGAGGTTGGTATAATATAGTGGTGCCTAGCGTCCGAAGTTCCTGTACAGCGAGGCCTGTCCGATTTCGCTTCCACTGGGGCTGGGGTAATAGCTAGCCTTGGTGCCTATCACTACTGTCTGGTCCAAGTCACCCACCTAGTGGTTGGGTGATGGTCCTGAGTGGGTTACACTAAGGTAAGATAGTTAGGTTAGGGGGTACGCTGGGAGTATTGATGAGTGGTAAGGTGGGAGTTGACCTCGTATCTTAGGACTGCGAAGGCTCATCGCTCCCGGTGATCCCTGTGTGCCTGGTAATT